GTTCATCCCTGTTGCTTCGGACAGGACTACATTCCACCCGAATCGTCTCAGTGGTGTCAATTCCGAACATTTGATGTTCTTCAAGTTCATTGGACGTATCATCGGCAAGGCCCTGTACGAGGGACGTGTCCTTGACTGCCATTTCAGCCGTGCGGTCTACAAGTGCATCCTCGGTCGGTCAGTATCCATCAAAGATATGGAGACGCTTGACCTTGACTACTACAAGTCCCTTCTCTGGATGCTCGAAAACGACATCACTGACATCATTACTGAGACGTTCGCTGTCGAGACAGATGACTTTGGAGAAAAACAAGTGATCGATCTCATTGAGAACGGACGCAATATCCCTGTCACTGAAGAGAATAAGGAGGAATACATCCAACGTGTCGTGGATTACCGCTTGGTCGGCTCCGTCAAGGAGCAGCTGGACAACTTCCTGAAGGGTATGTTTAGGTCCCGTTTCCGCTTGACTCTTTTAAGTATGTGGCTAATAATACGTGCTGTACAGGATTCCATGAGATCATCCCCTCCGATTTGATCTCTATTTTCAATGAGCAAGAGCTTGAGTTGCTAATCTCCGGTCTCCCCGAAATTGAAGTGGATGATTGGAAGGTCAATACCGAGTATCATAACTACTCGGCCTCCTCGCCCCAGATTCAGTGGTTCTGGCGCGCTGTCCGCTCTTTCGATAAGGAAGAACGCGCCAAGCTTCTGCAGTTCGTTACGGGTACTAGTAAGGTGCCTCTCAATGGATTTAAGGAACTCGAGGGTATGAACGGAGTTAGCCGTTTCAACATCCACCGTGATTACGGCAACAAGGATCGTCTCCCAAGCTCTCATACTTGTTTCAACCGTAAGTACACCCAGCAATGTCCGAGACTGTCTATATGGCACAGCTTGCTAACGATGTGACACAGAGCTGGATCTTCCAGAATATGAGAGCTACGAAACTTTACGGCAACGTCTTTACACTGCGATGACGGCTGGCAGTGAATATTTCGGATTTGCATAAAATGGTGGCGCTAATATCCCTTATTGCCTGAATGATGATCTGGGGGTTAACCCACTTCCATTTGCAGTGTCCTTGACTCAGTGCTGAAGCATATTATGGCGTTTGACACATCTTCATTTTCAGCTAGTTTGTACCTTACCAAAGGCATGGGGGTGGTGGTAGGAAATGAACCGCAACCGGCAGACCAATTGAAGTGCAGGTCAACTGGGATGCTGGGGATCGGTTCGAGACTTTTCACTACCTTTTCTGTGTTTTACTTTGCAAATTGCAGCAGCATGTACTTTTTTTTTCAGCTATGTGTCAATTACTTAGAAAATTCCAGTCAATTGTTCTCGTTCTTTCACACACGTTCTCGTCCAGCCATCGATGCGCGGTTAGTCAGCCGGGTGCTTCTCCGTAGTCTGGAGGCGGTGAGGGGCGGTGGATCCGGGGAGTCACGGGATGCAACTTTTTTCTGCTGGGCGAAAAAGTCACCTGCCGGCGGGGCATCGGCTCGAATCTCAACTTCTTCAATCCGCTGCTCTCTCTCCGGTCGATGGGCGTTTCCTATCTCTCAGGCATGCTAATTCCTGCTCTCTAAATTCTTCTTTATCTTCTGTCTATCATCATATCAATCTCCCCTCTACACCCGTCCGATTCCACGCGCCGCTCTCACCTGAACCCCTCCTCCAGTTTCTCTTGAATCTCCAACAATGGCTTCGAACTCGATCAAGCTCTTGACTGGTAACAGTCACCCTGAGCTTGCAAACCTCGTGGCAGCTCGGTATGCGCTATAGTTCTGGACTACTTCTGCACCCTTGCAGTACACCATGGACTAACGAGCCGTTTCAATTGGCAGGCTTGGCATTGAACTGACCAAGATCATGGTCCTCCAATATTCGAACCAGGAAACGAGTGTCACAATCGGAGAGAGTGTACGAGATGAGGATGGTATTGTTGTCCACTCCGCCTGCTCAGACCCAGGCCCGCAAAAGATCTCGGGTTAATGTGTACACCCTGCAGTTTTCATCTTGCAGTCGACGCGGCCCAATGATATCAACGATGGACTGATGGAGCTGCTCATCATGATCAATGCTTGCAAGACCGCCTCCGCAAGACGTATCACGGCCGTCATTCCCAACTTCCCTTATGCGCGCCAAGATAAGAAGGATAAGAGCCGTGCTCCTATCACTGCCAAGCTTATGGCAAACATGCTCCAGACTGCTGGTTGCAACCACGTCATCACCATGGACCTCCATGCCAGCCAAATCCAAGGCTTCTTCAACGTTCCCGTCGATAACCTGTATGCCGAGCCTAGTATACTGAAGTGGATTCGCGAACACCTGGATGTGAGCAACTGTATCATTGTCAGTCCTGACGCTGGTGGTGCTAAGCGGTAAGTAAATTCGGTCCTGTGAGTGCTTAAAACATTGCAAGCGATGTTAATTGGCAATTTTGAATAGTGCCACTGCCATCGCCGATCGCCTCGATCTCCAGTTCGCGCTCATCCACAAGGAGCGCCCCCGCCCCAACGAGGTCTCGCGCATGGTTCTCGTTGGTAGCGTTAAGGACAAGATTGCTATCATTGTTGACGACATGGCTGATACCTGCGGTACTCTTGTCAAGGCCGCCGATACTGTGATGCAGCACGGAGCTAAGGAAGTCAACGCGATTGTTGTGCACGGTATCCTTTCCGGCAAGGCTACTCAGAACATCAACAACAGCTGCTTGAGCCGTGTTGTTGTGACCAACACTGTTCCTCACGAAGACAAGAAGGAGCAGTGCGATAAGATCGAGACGATCGACATCAGCCCCACCCTTGCGGAGGCCTGCAGACGTACGCACAACGGCGAGTCTGTGAGCTTCCTGTTCTCGCACGCTGTTGCCTAAACGAACTAGTGAGGGCACTTGGCAGTGAGGGAGGATAAGATGGACATGCCGCTACCTGGAGGCGGCTCATATTTGCTTTTGCCTTTTGATATTGTCGTGCGTAGTCGGATACCTCTAGGAGGACCTAGATCATGATGTTAGGACTCTTTAGCCACGGAACTCCCTGGATAGGCGCCTCCGTCTGTCAAAACTATATTTAACGCATTTACCGGTTATGATGCTTATGGAACTTGAGAAGGTGGAAAGGAAGGGAGATATGGAAAAGTCGGCGGCGCCTTTTGCTTTCTATTACCAGCTGAATTGAAGCATTTATATTGTACATATATCAACGGTTTTCTTTTTCCCCCTTGGTCGTCTTCATTCCGATGTACCACTCTTCCTTCTTGTGGGCGGATCACATGTGAATTTTACTGATACAATAGACTGACTCTCTGAATCTCATTCCGTCCTGAACACGTAACATACACACCAAATATAGATGTAGTCAAATGCAAAATATGGAATTCGAGGAAACATTCAATACCGTGTATGGAACAAACATCTGCAGTCGTCAAATTAACCTCGGAGATTCCAGCTAGTAGTTCCGCGGCGATGCACACGGGCTAGCCCTAAATCGATCCTCAAGCTGCAAGTCGTACTTTCAATTCCGAAATTTATATTTCCGGCTTCAATAGTCGGTCTTGTCATCGTCCAGATCTAGCCATCCATCCCTCACTGATCGGCGGCACTATCTCGCTTACTTTTTTGCTTTCTGATTTTTACTTCAAGCCATAAATTACTAATATCTAGACTACTCTGGTATTACTGGTATGCTACTGAGTAGTAGCTCACAATATAAATATATTCCCGAAAGAGGGAGAGTAGTATGTAGCGGGAAATGTTTCTCGGAGTAATCAGGTCGGCGATGCGGGAGCTTGTCATCTTACCATCCGTGATGGTTTCTTCTTCTTAGTGGTTGGGGTTTATTTTTACTCGAGGTTATTTGTGTTTAGTATTAATATAGCTTACTAGTACTATTGAGGCCTACTGTAGAGCTAGAACAGAGGTGCTTGTCAACAGTACTACTAGGATACTAGTAGTATGAAGAGTCAGGCATTTCTAGTATTGGATACGTGATAATAAATACAAGAGGCATGGTTAGGACATTTGACTGCTTCTATTGAATGCCTGCTAGTTTATTCAAAAATAATCCATCTGTTTGTTTTCTTCCATGTCAAACAAGGCGCCTGGATTCATCACACGCTGTCAGCTGTAATCTTCGTATACTGGGTTATGTGTAGGTTTCATTGAGTAAATGAGTGAAGTTAGTACTAGGTGGGTTGGAAGGTGGCTATGTAGTAAGGTTTTGTTGTCCTTTACTATTGACGTGTATTTATTTAGTTGTGAAACAATGGATTTGGTGGCTGGTGGCTGATTGATTGATTTGATGGGATACAAGGTAAGTTTGGTAAATTCAGTAAAAATAGGTAAATTGAAGTATGGGTATCGCACTATGCGGTAAAAGTACGTCGAGCGTATCTTGACATCTTTGGTAGGTTGGAAGTATGATGTTGTGTATCTTTCAGTTTGTCTTGTGTGTGTCTCGTCATAGTAGATGTTGATGTATATAACCTTATAGTTAGGTGGTCATGTGCTACAGTTTCTCGGTTTCGGTACTGATAGCCATAATATACAGAAGATTGAAGATAGCTTAGTGTTAGTAGCGGGGTTGAGTAGTAAGTAGTGCATTGACTTCACCTGCCTGGTCTGATATCTATATACTCCCTGTCTGGCCATGTAAGTATACATTGCTACACTGTTGAGTGGCGAGGGTCTTGATTGATCCTGGATAGTAGCTCTAGTAGTCATGCGTGTATAAGAATGATTAATTAAGAATACTAATGATGCACTATACACATTCAAGACACACGGTGGATTGTGTGCTGGATGTGCAGTCAGAAAACAGTGTCTGTGCCTGTGTCTGTCTGTGTCTACTCCGCACTTGACTAACGATCGCTAGTGGGATCTTGGGTTAGAATTGTGGGTACGCAAAAAAGTACTGGCCACACAATAATCCACAGCTGGGCTACATTTGAATAATTTTAAAGTTTACCACAGTAGGGTCCAGGGGATTACACTACAACCAAGGGAATAGATAGAACCTGAAAAACACCGACTGAAATTTGGAATACAAAGAGTTTCATTTCATTCACAAGCAGCGCAAATAGAGAAGAATCATCTGCGGAGAACCGGAGTCCTTGGGTATTTTTTTTTTAATCGTGCCAGGGAAGGGGAAGGGATAATGGTCGCAAGGCCATAAAAAAAAAGTGTAAGAAAAACAAAGAAATTCTTTCACATTTTTTCCCTTTCATTTCCATAAAATGTGGAGATATAGCATTTCCTTTTTTTGATGTTGTGGATCAGACAATATCGGCACGCCAAAGTCTCGGTCCGCTGCAGACGCCTTCTCTCCTCTCTCTCTCCCCCGACAAGGAGCTTTTGTTCTTGGGTCGCTCTGCTTCGGAACTCGAAGTAGGAAAAGAGAAAATGGGTAGATATAAAATAAATCCCCCTTCCCATTTGCTTGAGATTCTTCTATAATACCCTTTTCCCTTAGCTAGAACAGAGACGTAACCCGACCATTAACCCCCGGACAAACACATTTACTTCCTCATCGAAGACGCTCTCCGCTTGCGGAGCTCATCACGCTTGGCCTTCTCCTCGTGGACACGGCTGGCAAGGAGCTTGGCGTAGTCGTTACTGTGGATCGCACGGTTAGCGGATATTCATTTGATGTATTTGGGCACATGTCCCCGCCGAGAGAGGAAAGGGTGCAACTTACGCAGCCTCGCGGGCAGCCTCAGCACGACGGCGCTTGAGGGCAATGCGCTGGCGCTTGCGCTGGAGACGCTGGGGAGTAACCAGACGCTGGATCTTGGGGGCCTTGGTGTAGTCGGGCTTGCCCTCACGGGTGACGGTACGACGGATGACGAACTTGCGGACGTCGTCCTTCTTGTCGAGACCGAAGAAGCGGCGGATCTTGGTGGCACGCTTGGGGCCGAGTCTCTTGGGGACAACGGTGTCGGTGAGACCGGGGAGCTCACCCTCACCCTGCTTGACGATGCTCAGGGCAAGAACAGAGAGGTCCTGACCGGTGATGGCTGTAAACACGAAGCGTCAACGAATCAACTCCTAACCACGATAGTAACGGATATATTGTTGTTTGGTAACCTACCACCACGGACGGACTTGCGCTTGCGCTCACCAGTGCGGCGGGGGCGGTAGCAGCTGCAGTGGACATCAGTCTTCCATTTCGTAAACTCCATTATCGGCAGGTCGCATTTACCTGTGGCCATCGGCAAGGAGGAGGCGGGTACGGGTGGGGAGGAGAACTGCACACAAATCGATGAGTTTCTGCTGTTTTTGTGATTGTCGGATTATATTTGCGTCGGTCGGTACATACCACCCTGCTTCATGGGGAAACCTGTGAAGAAACCAAAGTCAGCATCCAATGTACATTCTTAACCATGATATCCAATTTCTTGTTCGTTTTCGAGTCCTCCTAGTCGAGCCCAAATCCGAAAAGGGGGAAAGCAATCCAGTCGTACCTTGCTTGTCGTTACCACCGGTGATCTTGAGGATGTAACCCTTGAACTCGTCACCGAGAGAGTCGCCGGCAACCTATAGCAAAAAAAGAAACCCCAATCAGTCTTCTGCTTTTCCCATATTTTTCGTGCATTTCTCAAATTTCGTCTCTTTTTCTTTTCCAAATGTGGTGTTTTCGGGTGCGGATATCCAAGGGGGGAGGGTTGCTGACTTCGGTTCCCATGCGCTTCTCCATGAAGGGACGGAGCTTGCGCTCATCGTCAACCTCGATGATCTTCTGAGACCCATTGGCCGGGTAGGAGATGTTGAGCTTCATCTTGACGGGTCTGCGCGGTCAAGACGGAGGGCGCGGTTTGTCGACAGGTCGAGGAGGTTCAGGTCGTCGGGGATTCGTTCTTCGTGGGATTTTTTTGGTGGTGTAGCGAGATTTCCCTGTGTGGGCGGCTGACTAAGTCCACTAACCCTTCTGGACTTAGCGTCCTCGGTAGGGCTCTTATGTCAGCAGTCCCGGCACCTGACTTGCCCCCTTTCCCTTTTAGGAACAATGAGGCTAGGCCTGCATTCTTATGCTTGAGGATCCCACTGACTCGTCACGATAGAAATGAAGTCGAAAGACCTGGTTACGCGATGATGCTCGTATTCAATGATAAACCTACTCAATCCAGACGGCAGGATAAGGTCCTGTCTTTAGGTGTAAGCGGAGATTAGGTCACCTGATCTTCGTGTGATCCTTGCGACTCTGTGTACACAGTAGGCAAGATTTGGGATCAGATATCTCCAACAGATCGGTGTCTTCCATATCTATGGCTGCTAACCTACATCCCTCTGATTGCGACTTTATGCGTTCCAATAGTCGACAGCTAGGACAGCCTATGGGTATGTTCACTGACCAACCCTTTAAACCAGCGTCAAGTAGGGTGCCTCCTAAGCTCTATCCAGGCGAATCCGGGGAGCCATCGCGTTGCGCCTTAGGTGCCACATCTCTCGTCATAGAGCCTTTCTCCGAGCGGACTTTCATCCGTTGCGCACTCAGAATCCATCCTGCAGCCTAGGATGCAATACATGCTGGCTGATGTATTGCATGGAGCCGGGCATTACAGACGGTGCATATGCTTATCGTTATGCAGGAAGTTGTTCAACATAAGAATCTTCATTATATTAAGCTTGTTGTCACAAGTGAGGAGTCGAAAGCTAGTTAGGGGTTAGTTATAGTCAACCCCTGAGCGCATCGGCGATAGAGACTTGTAGATCTGGTCAGTCAATCAGGTGCCGAACTGGTCAGGGTCAAAACCACAACGACCAGCGAAGCTTTAAGGAGGTTCTTCGGAGTGCGTCTTTGTAAATGGCACCATAAATTCGAAAAACCCCATATATATAAGAAGAAAGCTAGTATAAGTAGTTATGGAGGGTATTTTCGCTGACTCGGATTTTGTTGCACATTGCGTTCTGCCGTTCCCGACAGCCAAAGACGGGGGACCAATCCGGATCGAGATGGACCGTTCGGAAGGTCGGAGTCTAAGCTGGCAGCCAGTCTTGGAAGTTGGAAGAGGCGCCCCGTTATCTATTAATGTTTGATTATTGATTGATTACTACCCACCACCCAAACTGCCCCTTCGGTAGTAGATACTAGATAGATACTAGATAGATAGATAGTGGCCGAGGAGGGGTTGTTCATGACATCCCAGTAAGGGGGTTCAGGGAACATGACCGCCATTTCCGACAGACGTTCGTTGCTGATTCGATAACCCTTATTGCTGGAACAGAGACTGTCCACGAGGGCAAGCCAGTGAGATCCACTGATGGGGACTGCCTTGTACAAAACCGCCTCTTCCAAGCCCGATGGAGTCTTGGGACTGACGCAAAAGACCCAGAGCACGCGACTGGTTACCGTTCCGACGTCGCCGCGCGGCCACTGCCAACGTCCGAGAGGCCCAGGACAAGAACAGCCTTACGGCAGATGCAAAGATGGCCACAAGCGCGCTATCGTAGTGGACAGGTCAGTGAATATTTTCTGTTTCCTCACCCAACTCTCGCACCATTCGGAATTGTCTCCTTTTTCTTGTTGCTGCATCCGTTCCCCTCAGGTTCTCGTTTTCATCCGACTGACAGAGTTCTCCAGTCGAGTCCCCACTCTGGCGCCAACCATCCCCATTGCACGCTATTAGTCTCTCTCCTCTTGCACGGTACTGCCGGAGGCAATCTTGTCTTTCGTGCTTGTGTTAGGGGAAGAAGTTCCTGCTTGATTTCGCCGCAGATCACTACGTACGGCATCTCCGTCTTATCTCATTCTTCCCCCCTTTCCGTTGTTCGGTTTCTTCTCGTTTTCCTTTGGACAAATCGTATACACTCAGCATCGTTGTGTGCAACCGCGCAACAAAGAGTGCCGCCGATCGCCCCCAGCGTTTATCGGCTTCGCCTGCGAAGCCCAGCGGCTTTCGCTGTCCCGCCTCCACCGTTCGTATCCGTCCTTTATGCCCGGACCCAATGCGCCTCTTTAGCAAATTTCACGCGGTCTGCGCCTTGGCTGTGTGCAGCATTCTCCTGTCAGCCTCATTTCTTGCCTCTCAGCATTATTATCGCCGGGTAGTCTTGACAAAAGAGCCCACGTTAGACTTCCACGCCACAGCATCTTTCGACCGTCGCCTAGTCGTCTTTGGTGACTCGTGGAGCGATAACAATGCAGCCGAGCTTCAGGGATCTGTATGGACGGACTGGCTTTGTAACTCGGTGAGTGTGAAAGCTACTTGGCTGGATCGAAGTGGTAAGCTAATTACTCGGCTTAGTTCTCATGTCACCATGAAAACTTAGCAGAGACAGCCAAGTCTTTGAGAGGAAACTACATTGGCTCTGTGGTGGATAACACGGAGCTGTCGGGCTCCTTACTCAACCTCTACAAGTCTCCATTGGCGGATCTGAAAGCTCAGGTCGCCAATTGGATTGCGGCGGAGACGGAAGCCACGAGAGGGATGGATGCGACTGCAATTGGCATGCGTCAGAATCGCACCATCGTGGTCGTCTCCTTTGGTGTATGGGACTTGTGGAACGTAATGGCCAAGACGTACGAGGATGCATCCCATGCAGTCGATCGCAATATCAAAGTCATTATGGAGGAGCTGAATTTGCTGGCCGAGACATGGGGCAGCAATGACCTCAAGATCATCCTAACATTAGCACCAGATGTAACCTTCCTGCCGGCCTATAGAGCGCAGGGGGCGCCGCAGATTACCAAGCACAAAGATGCCGTGAGGATCGCAGACTATTGGAACGGAGAGCTCCGCAATAACGCCGAAGATTGGTCAAACGGCACGATCTATTTGTTCGACACCAACTCGTTTCTGGCGGACCAGATTCGCGACTGGCAACTTTTTGCTGCAGGGATCGAGGAAGAGAATGGATTGGGGAGGAACGAGGATCCCGGTTGGGAGAATGTTGAAGACGCATGCGTCCAAAGCAGCCAGCAGTGGATGGTGACGTCAGGTGCGCAACAGTGCGACCGTCCGGAGAAATTTCTGTTCTGGTAAGGACAAGGCATTATGATTGGCGCCCATTGACTTGATCGAGTGCTGACCGTATCATTTTTCAGGAACGATATGCACCTGGGCCCCTCAGCACATAGGCTTCTGGGCGCGGAAGTGTTCCATGGAATTGAAGAGATGTGGCTCCGATGAAAATTCCCTTAAACATCAAAATAAGAGAGCAGAGAAAAGAGAAAAAAATTCCAAAAGCGCAACCGATGAGGTCTTACTTGTTTTTTTCATTACTTCTTGAGACGTAATTTCGCCAAGGACATGATGGGGGAAACTTGTTCTGTAGATGATTAGACATCGGCCGCTTCCCGGGACTATCAAACGCTGATGAACAGCACGATCAAATGGCGGCCTGCTTCTCTTATCTCCATTGAGCATGCCGCCCGACTATTCGACTGGTCTCTAGACGATGTGTCAATAGGTTTGAGACCATGTCTTTCTCCCCGCTCTGAGAATGGATGAGCGAGAGGAAAGAGTTTGTACTGGGGGAACACAACTGTTTCGAATCACGAGAGGTTTCAGGTCGCTACCGAACAAGGACCGAACAGGGAACTAACTGAGGTGGTATGTCTCATTGAGAATGAGCACGGAAGTCAGGCTGCCCCATCCGGAGACGGAAGATTGTAACGTGATGGCGGTGGAAGGTGGAGCAGGGATCGGAATGCGATCGCCACAGGGTAGATCGATCCGGCCTCCAGTCTGGGAATGGGGACACCTGCAACATCAACGTGTCAATGGAGACCCGTGAACCTTTCGATGGGTCGAGGGAACTACGGATCAGACTTTGGGCAGGGGAAGAATAATGGATCCTGACCAGACCCTGTTGGAAGGACCCCCTTTGAAAGATGGTTGGGGAAAATAGCAGGAGTAACGGATGGTGCGGATGATGCTGGTAGATGGGATGTTGGTGGTGTCGGTGGTAAAGTACGGAGTAGTAAGGAGTAGTATCCAGTGCCAATTTGCCAAATCAGGCTGTTCGTTCTCTTCCCTGTTTTTGCTTTCGGTATTTTTTTTTTTTGCTTCTTCTCTTTCCCTCTCTCTTATTTTTTTGACTCCTCTTTCCTTTCATTCGGTGCTGGCTGTTAGTTTCTTTGTCTCCGAAGAGGATCGGCCTGCTGTCATGGAAGCCTCGGGAAGTTCTGTCATTAGCCAGGAGCTGTCCTGGACCAAAAGTACCTTTGCTTTAGATGGAGGAGAGAGGTGGAGGTGGAGATGGCGGAATTCTGATACCGCCACCAGGAATGTATGTATTACATTGATGGTAGGGAGATGGTCCCATAAAACAAGAAGACCGTAGTAGCCATGGCCACGATGGCTGTTTTCCTTCTTTTTTATGGGGAACAACGGAGTTCAGTACCCAGTGTAGATTAGTGGGTATCAAACTTCCAGGAACTACTACCTTAGAGAGCCAAGCAAGCACATTCAGTTAGTTCAAGTAGGTAGGATTTAGTAGGAACCAACCGATACATGCGAGGGAGCAAGCAAATAGCAAGCAGCCAGCAGCAAACAACAAGTACCTTCGAAGTACCACTCAGGCATCGGAGTAGGTACTACTACTGTAGAGGGCTAGTGGTGGGTGCCAGACCGTGGTAAGCAAAAGCAAAAGCAAGCAGGATGATGCTGGCGAGAAATTAGACGGATTGGAAGACAATCAAATCCATTTGCGCATGTGTCACATTGGCGGTGGGCCAATTGCCAGGCCCGGTCGGGGGAAATTGACTGCGGATTGGTCCCAGATCACTGCAGCACACCGCATGCGGACGCCGAACAGACAAAGGAAAGCTAAAATGGCTCCAGGATTGAAACAATAAACCTGTATAGCCATCTCTATGCAACTAGTCGATAGGTGGCAGTTTGTCTTTACCAGGGAGGGTCTTGAGAGGGGGCAAAAAAAGTAAAAAGGTAAAACAATTAGGCACTTAGGTCCCCGGGTTCAACTAAGTAGTAGCTCTCCAGGTAGCTACTGACTTAACTGAAAGGCGTATTATTATCGAACTGCCCAAACATGTGAAATGAGGTCCCAAAAACAACAAGGCAATCAATCATCCAGAATAATGAGCTCTGGAAGGGCCCATTTCTCGCCCCTACTGCTGACTCACCTCGCAAAAAAAGGAACAGGTTCAGGTTGTTCAGGTTGTTGCTTTTCTGCTACTACCTCCCAAGTGCCCACTTTGTCTCTCTCGCCCTCTGGCTCTTCTTTTGCCCTTCCAGTTCTTTGGTACCCTTGGTTGGAGGTTCATCCAGGGACAGTAGAGTCAAGTCAAGGTACCTCTTCCTCCGCCCCAGTACAACACCACACCACACGCTGGAAGGAACCGTGATGTACGTCCTTCCCAACCCGGGAGGTTTCCTCACCATGAGGTTCCATCACTTCTGTCCGAACAGCTGTCTCTGGTGGGGATAATGTCCCCTCCCAACCGGACGAAGGACTCGGGTCCATCCTGACAGGGACAAAGAAACTAAAAAGCCCGGGATTTTTAGTCGTAGTCAAAGGGAGGGGCGCCAGACCGAAGGCCCCAAAGATAGCTCCCCATAACAAAGCACTTGAAAAGCCAAATCCTGGCTTTATCTCACTGGCGTCCCCTCGGCTTGGTTGGCTCGGCCTGAATGGAAATATCATTTCATTGTCAAAGAACGAGGAGGCAGAAAAAGGAAGGGAGAAAAAGAAAAGAAAATTACCCAGCAGAGAGGACACCCCTGACGCCTTCAAATAATAATTCAGCTGGATTTTATTATCAACATTCTTATTATCCTTATTATTCGACCTGAACTGGAATTAAAATATTTCACGCCCAAGACACCAAACCAACAGTGACGGCCGCTCGATTGGAAAAGAGAAAAAGAAAAGAAAAGGTTAACAACAGCCTGCCTGGAAATACCCGGTGCAGCACGAGGAGAAACTCATTCGTCTCGTTGACTATAACTATAACCTTATATTGGGGCTTTCTTTTCTTTCATCCACTTGTGCAGCGTCCGCCCATTCAAGGGCCACGGCTCTCTCTATAACCTCGCTTTCTCACCCACCATCTCGCAGACTTTCATTATTCATTGCCCGCCATTTCCTTTCAAGTCTGCTGGTTCACCCACTTCTCGCTCTGCGACCCCCCAAAAAGCCATTTGCTCTTTACTCCATAAAATAGATGTCATGTCTTACGATCGCGTTCTGCCCAAGCCTCCTCTTCTACACCATGACAGCTCTCACCATCTCCCCTTGTCACGGCCTACTAGTAACCTCCTCGAGCATAAGATCATGAATGACGATGTCGCTAAAGTGTCTATGATGGACCGTCATCTGGACACTGCGGCTTTAAGTGGTCATCGTCGATTCACTGACACACTGCCTCCGGTGCATCTGACCTCTCTGAATCGAAGCAAGGTAGCTCTCAACAAAGTCGCCTCCAACGCTACCTCTGCTATTGAAGCCCCGAAGCCCACGAACTTTCTAGCTACAAAGGCTATTCCTCTTCGTGAACGCTCATCTTTTTCAGAACGTTCATCGTCATCTAGTCCAATCAAGTCATCCAATGCTCCCACCCCAAGGGAGTCGGCCACACAGTTCTGCCTCTGTCAGCCGGATCCGAAGATCCCTAGGCCTCGAAATGGTATGCAAGTTTGAAATCTGCTCGATTTGTTTCTTGAGCTGACAAACAGGTTAAAGCGTTCATCTTATACCGCCAACATTACCAAGCTGCAGTGGTCGCGCAGAACCCAGGCCTTGCCAATCCTGAAATCTCCAAAATTATTGGGGAGCAATGGAGAGGGCTTCCACAGGAGACAAAGGATGAGTGGAAAGCGCTGGCAGAGGTAAGTGCATGTACCGTATCTATCTTTGAGTGGACCACCTAATTCTTGACAGGAGGAGAAAGCTCGGCACCAACAACAATACCCAGAGTATCGCTATCAGCCTCGTCGCTACGGTCGGGATGGGAATCTCCGGAGCGGAGCATCTGGCATCAGCCATAACCCTCCAGGCTCTACAGTCTGCAGCCGATGTGGAGGCCGTGTGATGAACCCTCCAGTATCACCGGAGACTCCTTATACACCCAGGGCCTCCTTTTTCGGTGGAAAATCGGCACCTGGGGAGGTCTTTTCAGCACGCAGTAACCAGTGTCGCGCCAAAGATCTGGACCGTGCTCCTAATGTCATCAAGCTCATCCCCAATGGTAATGGGGAATCACGCTTGCCTCGTCAGCATTTTGTGGAAAGCAGAAGCCGATCACCGGATAGTAAGCGCAGGCGGTTGGGACCGCTTGGTCCTTACGATATCCGTGAAAGAAGCCCGGATTCTTCATATCCTGCATCTCCATACACGCCTCGCTCGGCAGTAGCAGACTCACGAGGTCTGTACCAGCCGCTACAGCAGCCACGGCCCGGCCGAAATGTCAAGGAGTATACCCCGCCGGATCCCAGCTTGAAACTTCCACCGCTACAAACAGCTACTCATGTTCCCGGAACTATCACCCCAACGACTCCATATTCGCATGATGGACCTAGCATCGAAGCCACCGTCATGACAATCCCGTTTCTCAACAAGATAAAGGTCTTGGCTAAGATCTCCCCGCCCTTGACGCCAGCATACCATGATGGATCGTCGTTCCGACGTGGGGCTGTGATAGCCGTGGATGGACAAGATCCTGTTCTTGTTAAAATGATGGTCGAATTTTTGAACAATACATTACAGAAGGAGGGCAGGTATCATACCCAAATCTTCGGAGGACCTGAGATTCGGTCTCGTGAGAGCTACTCCGAATCCGAGCAAATGGGTGATGCAACTGTCGACTACCTCAATATCATCTCCTCATGGCACCGCATCTCCGACGAAATAGTCAGCTTCGTGAAGCCTTCACGAGCATCATCGGAGTCAAAGTCAGTTGACGAAGAATCCACGCCAGGAGTGTCGCCGCGGACTATTATACCCAAGACTGCTGATTTACAGATCAACTCTCCCGAGCAATTGAGCGATAATAGCTCTGTTTCGACAGTCTCTACCGGATTGGGTTCCATTACGATGCCCGTGCCTGTCGCACTTGTTCCCCGATACCAACTAACGACCGCGGATGCTTTTGCTTGCTCCGTCCCGATCGGGGATTCGTATGCACCACTTGACCACTGGCAGTGGATGGCATCTCTGTGGAGGGCGTGCGTAGGACCGGACATAACCGTGTACATCCGAGAATGCGAGAAGGACGAACTAGAGCGTCTTGGAGGCAGCCCCGTGGAAGTTCGTCTTCATGATGCACGAACCATTGTGGTTCGAAGACTGGCATCCCCACCAAGCGAACTGGAGGAAAAGTCACTTAAGAGAGTCGGCTTCGAGATTGAGGACTTTCTCACCCAATGAGCTTGTAATATGATCGAACCTAAATCATGCCAGCTTTGTCAGGCTCGCATATTCTTCTTTTCTTGTCTTTTCTTATGACATTCTTCTCCGGACATATGGGGGTTTTTTTACACTTTCATAAATTACCTTCCTTTTTATCTTCTTTCTTTACTTTGCTACTAGGCGCTGGCCTATGCTGCGGGGTTTCTGTCTGGTTCTGGGTTTTGTGGCTGAAAATGGGAGGCTTTTCTTGTAGATCTACTTATGAGCTCTGATAATATATGTCAGTGATCAATGATGTTTTCACCGACGTTGTGCACGAAGGCGCAGGCATCATTGCTTCTATCCTAGCACTTGACAAGGCTTACTGTATTAGTATTCCCTTCAACTTATCAAGAAAAATCACCCACCGATGCAGCCAGCCATCAGTAATAGTCCCCATATTTTAAAACGAAACATCTCGCTGCCTAAGGCCCCAACCGAAGCTCCTAATATAACCTAAACAGGTATAACGCATGGCGGTGACCACCCCAGACCAATCACAGGCGAACCATGGCGGTGACTGCCCGCTTATCGGGTTATCCTGGAATGCGCGGTGCGATGAATGAGGTTGTAACGCATTCCCTTCATTGGACTTGTCTTCTGAAGGGCGGGCAGGTCTATTTCATGTGTTGTTTTAGATTATTGCAGATATCTTGAGTGTTTCCCTTTTTTGTTTCATGGGAAGCCTTCAGCACGAACGAGCTTAATTGAATGGATGGGCTGCCCGCTAAAGGTTATCGCCTCTTCATGCAACCTCCGCGACGGCAAAGGGGCACAACGACAGATCCTATACGGACGATATGTTGGCGACCAATGATGGCATAATACGTGCTGGTACTGCGGCATCTATCAATGATGCTGTCGAAGTAGACCAGGTATGTTGTATGCGCTAATGTGTTCATTGAAATCGATTCGCCTTGCACTGGATGCTCGCTTCTGCGAAACTGAAGTTCAATGCTCACTTTGCGATGCTTCAATCTCTGCAGATACAACCTCCCAGATTAGACTGTACCATGACTGCAAAAGATGATGATGCTCTCAACTCAACCGGGCCCGATTCTTCCGCAGATACCACCGTAACCGCGGTTTCTACGCCCACGCCTGCAACGCCGCAATCGGAACATTTTGCCTTGTCAAAGCCCATCGCGAGGGATAACCAGGCGGGGGGAAACGTGACTTCTCAGAACTTGAATAATTATATTGGCGTTGGTGTTTTGAGGAGGCGCAATGGAGGCTACGATAACGAATCCGCAGCCCCTGTCGAGCCCGATAACTTTCCGGCGTCGGAAGTCGCGGCCTTGGAAAGAAACAGCTGGATCTGGACTGAAACAATAGCATCTGGGGAGAATTCATTGCGGAGTGGTGTTCGCGTTTACGTGCTCCCTGATGACGTCGGGCGCAAGTCCATCCCGCGGTCGAGCACAGCATTGAGGCGCGCACTCAAGGCAGTCATGATGAGGATCGACAGATCAGTTGAAGCGTGGAACGGAAGTGTGCACGTAGATCTGAAGGTTGTCGATAACCCTGTGGGTAGTTTGGAGGATGAGTCTCTTTGGTATATCTTCAATACGCTACAGGATCCGGAACCCCAGTTGGATAGAATCAGGAATGTGTATGCGAGAAGAGCGATGCGAGAGCTACTTACAGTAACTGCGCATGGAGAGGAGGAATCAGGCCAAGATTACTCCGGGGTGCTGGGTCTTAAGACGCCTTTGTACCCTTACCAGCGTCGTTCGGCTGCTACTATGGTCCAGCGGGAAGCGCAGCCTGCGCAGATGTTGGATCCGCGGCTGCAGGCATTCAAGAGCCCTCGAGGCGAGGAATACTACTATGACAAGGAAGAAGGGACCATATTTCGGGAAAAGAAAATGTATTCGGAGGCCTGTGGAGGTATGCTGTCTATGTGATAATGCGTGAACGGCTGTCTGACTGGGTATAGGTATCCTTGCGGAAACCATGGGTTGCGGCAAAACACTCATTTGCTTGGCTGTAATCCTGGCAACGCGTGGTCATTTCCCCGAGATACCGCTCGAATACCAGGAGATGAAGAACCCCATCCGACAAGTGACGGGAAGTCTTGTTGAGATGGCGGCGGCGACAGCTGGCCGCTTCTCACTGCCTTGGAAAACCCACTTCGACACTCTGGGCTACTACGGCACGTTCTACGAACGATGTGTTAAGGAGTGTGAGAGGCATCGTGGCGCCTATACTATACCTCCACCTCCTGCAAGGCACAAAGGTCGAAGTGGAGTGGCGTATCCTAGACCGCCGCCTCAGCAAATCCGTCTTTGTTCGGGGACGTTGATCATCGTGCCCCCTAATCTGGTCAACCACTGGCAGAATGAAATTTCGGCACATACCGATGGCTTGAAGGTGCTTGTACTACGAAACAGCTCTGACAAAACCCCCTCACCAGATGAGCTTCTGCAGTACGACATCGTTTTGTTTTCGCGAATCCGCTTCGAGAAGGAGGCGGGCGAGGTGGTCAATAATAGACGTAACTCCTTTACGCCTGAGGAGTCTCCTTTGACGAAACTTCATTGGCTTCGGATAATTGTCGATGAAGGCCACAATGTGGCTGGTAGTGGTAATCGGACCACCATGATGCATATCCTGAGCCAGCTTCACATTGAGCGTCGATGGATAGTGTCGGGAACCCCATCCAGCGGGCTGTATGGGGTAGAAGTCAGTCTGGCTTCACAGGAGACACATACTAGCGAAACTGATCTAACCGAGGCTACTACGACTGTACTCCGAGGTAGAAAGAAGACAGGAAACGCCTTGGACAGTGAGCTCAAGGATCTCGACAAGCTACGATATATCGTGATTGACTTCCTCGACCTGAAGCCGTGGTCTAACCCTCGAGCAAGTGACCCGGCTAACTGGACAAAGTACATAAAGCCCGTCGGCGAAGATGGCAGGCGACGGAAAGCACAGTCTCTCCGGGCTACCCTACAGAGCCTTGTTGTGCGACACCGTCTGGAGGTCATTCACAGTGAGATTCCTCTACCAAGACTGCATAACAAGGTCGTCTATCTGGAGCCTACTTTCTACGACAAATTGAACTTGAACATATTCATCTTCGGCCTAGCTGTCAATGCCGTCACTTCGGAGCGCAGCGACCAAGATTACATGTTCCATGCTCGCAACCGCAAGCACCTTAGCACTGTGATCAACAACCTTCGTCAAGCAGGGTTTTGGTGGGCTGGCTCGGACGACATCTCCCCAACGATCGACATTGCCTTAAAGCATCTGGAACTACGCTCGGACAAAACAAGCGAAGAGGACGTAGAGACATTACGTGAAGGCATTCGAATTGCACAAAAGGCTCAAGCATCTGGATGTTGGTGCGCTTTCAAGAGGATGCATGAGCTCGGTGTCTTCATCCAGGACTTCCCTGAACACGCCCGGAGTATGTGGGCAATTGATTCGTCAGTCGCGCACCAAGAGCCACTTCTGCTGGGCATCACCCAGGCGCGTCACGCACAGAAATTTGTGACGAAGCATCTGAACACGTACGATCCAGCAGAAGGGCTTGCCGGTGCAGGAATCAAGGCCCGTCGCGAGCTCTCAGGACGAGAAGGGGACAATCTGAGTCCGAAGAAGACCACACCAGACAAACCCGTCAAAAGCAACTCACCCAAAAAGACATACACCAAGGGACTATTTAAGACCTTACCGGAGGAGTCCCCTCTCATGCGAACCAAACTCGTCGCCACGGCCTCAGCAAAGCTAACATATCTCCTGGACCAAGTATCAGAGCTGCACAAAACCGAGAAAATCATCATCTTCTACGACAACAACAACGCCGCCTTCTGGATTGCCGAAGGTCTCGAACTCCTCGGTGTAGACTTCCGCATCTATGCCAGCACCCTTAAACCCACCATGAGAGCAGAATACCTCGCCCTATTCCGCGAGTCGGAAGAGGTGCGCGTCCTTCTAATGGACCTGCGCCAGGCATCGCACGGCCTGCACATCGCCAACGCCTCCCGAGTCTTCATAGTCAATCCTATCTGGCAGCCGAACGTCGAAAGCCAGGCCATCAAACGAGCCCATCGAATCGGACAGACCCGCCCCGTGTTCGTCGAGACCCTTGTCCTCAAAGACACTCTTGAAGACAAGATGTTGAAGCGCAGAAAAGCAATGACAGACATCGAGATCCATCACGCGGAACGAGACCTCCTGGACGACAGCACCATGAGTTCCATCATCCAGAACGAGCGTTACATCCCGATGCCCGAAACCGAAGACTCTAGCTCTGCCCGAGGCGCGTTTCTGAAACACCCTGCTGGCCTCTTCGATCGACACAAGCTCGCAATTGCCGATGACGACGAGGAAGGAATATATGGGCCGGGACTCCCGGAACACAGCACCCCGCGGAAGCGGAAACATGTCAGAGCTGTTGATATAGGCGAGAGCACCGACGAGCCGGATCTCGTCACGCCGAAAAGGCGCAAATCTACGTCCCCTGGCCTGGACTTTCTCTCGCCGCAGGGCATCCTCATGACACCGCCGCGAGCCTGGAGCAGGTCTCCTCGGGCGTCGCCATTTCCGACGGCGCTGTCACCAGCGGTAGAAACGGATAGTGCTCACGCGAGCACTGACGGTGCAGAAGCAGCTAGCAAACCAGGGAAGAAGAGGGTGTCTTTGTTCGGAGGCGCGTGTGCTGAGTAACGACATAGAATGACTGCTGTACCTAGATGACTGTAAATGATATCGACTATACCCAGAATCTCATATACACACATAGTAACACACCATAGCTACCGAACAATTCTAATCACCTATCCATCCATCTTGCATGTAATCATTGCAGAGACATGGAATAGTAAATTTAGCACCCCCGATAAGGAAAACAACCACACCCCTCCGATCAGATAAGGCTGCCCCACCCAGCCCCACCATGCCTATATCACATCACGTCGGTCTTTCAACTTTCCCACCTTCATCATCCATTGCTCCCCTTCCCAATTCCCCAACGCCCACAGCCCAAAATGCCCCCACCTCCTGAAAGACAAAAAACAACCATAATCGCCATCTCCGGCCCCTCCAGCAGCGGCAAAACCACCCTCGCGCGCCTCCTCCAGCGCATCTTCTCCAAACTAACCCCGCAGGCAACAAACACAAACACGAACCTACGAACATTCATCGTCCACGAAGACGACTTTTACCACCCAGATGACAAGTACATTTCCCCATACCTTCTATCTTCATCTCATCTAATAACAAAATCAACAGAATCCCCCTAATTCCCCACCCGCGCGACCCCACCACGCAGATCCAAAACTGGGACACTCTTTCCGCGCTCGACATCCCCTTCCTCAGCGCATCACTATCCTACATCCATGCGCACGGACACCTCCCGCCGCGCTTACGCTCCAAGGAGGATCTGAACGATGTGGCCGAGTCCGGGGTGTCAGAGGAGGTTGTTTCTCGGATGAGGGAGGTGGTTAGGGGGCGAGTACCTTCCTACTTTCTGGAGGATAATACCAACTCTGTTTCTGGGGATGGTGTCAGGACAATTGTCTTTCTGGAGGGTTTCCTGTTATTCGCACCCCCGAAGGAGGAAGATCCGCGGCATGGGTTGAGGGATGTGCAGGAGAAGATGGACGTGAGGTTGTTTTTGCCGGCGAGGTATGACAATGTGAAGGAGAGGAGGGAGGGGAGGAGTGGGTATGTGACTATTGGGCCGGCGCCGGTGCAGCAGGGTGGTGGTGGTGGTGAGGGTGGTGGTGGTACGGAGTTGCCGCAGAGAGGGTCAGTGGAGGTGGATTTGGAGGAGGAGGATGATCGGCCGCCGCAGAGTTTCTGGGAGGATCCGCCGGGATATGTTGATGATATTGTGTGGCCTAATTATGTGCAGGATCATGCGTGGTTGTTGTTGCCGGAGGGGGAAGAAGGGTCGGCTCAGACGGCGTGGAAGGATGCGGACACGCAGGAGCTGGTCAGGTTGGTGGGACAGGGAGTGAATCTCAGATTGGATACAGGTGTAACGGTGGCTCCTGGACAAGGAAAGGCGTCCATGACAGATATCCTCGAGTGGGCTGTCGAGGAAGTACTCAAGCATATTGCGGAAACAGAAGGACAATGAGAACCTGGTTCATCTGTAGTACCTAACTACACAGGGTACCTCCCCGAAGCCATTCTTTCACTTTAATATCAGTACCTATTCCTCCTGCCCTCTTAAGATTGCGCGACAGTCTCGCCGTGAATCTCGCTGTTGGCCGGGCCCCGCCACCCAAGCCAGTAATCAACCCTGTCCCGGAAAGTCAACTCTTGTTCAGCTTGCGGTGACTCAAGGCTTCGCGGTCCAGCTGGTGCCGACCTTGTTGACTCTTGATCCGGCTTCGTGGTCTCAGTATCCATTGTTACCTCTTCGTTCGCCTCTACAGAAATGCTGACTCCTGGTGTTGGTTCATCCTTGGAGTTGCCCTCCCATGACGTATCGGGCTGGCTGGTGTAGCTATGCCAGTGTACTGCCGTTGGTTGACTCATATTAAGGCTTTCCGCATCCATATTAGCAACAGTGGATGTCGCCTTAGTTGGTGAAGCCACAGCGTCAATAACGGTATTATTGAGCCAGAACGCAAGAATGGTTCCCAGAACATAGATAGCGCAAATGAAAACGAGTCTCATCTTTTGTATAACGTTCTCTGATCTCGGAATATTCGCGCAATTATTCATTGGCTGTTTGTCCTTAGCAGGCAGGTCCGCCACGATAGCAATGGCATCTCTTATACCTGCGGGCTTTTTCGAGTCATCGATCTCAGGTTCCCCCATTTCGTAGCCACGAGAACGCTCAATGCGTGAAAGTGATACAGCCTCCACTTTCTCAAATGTCCGTCGGAGATGATGTCTAACACGGTCACTGGGACTGGAAAATGCCGGGTAAATTCGTGGGAGCCAACTGATTGCATGGTGCCCGGGAAGCCGAACTGTCCAGTTCACACAGAACAATTCAAGATCTCGGGGCGAGCAAACGATCTGTAGATACGCAGATCCAATACCAACATTTTCTCTTGCTGGGATATGGATCATCTTCAGACCGCTTTCTTGAGAATCAAGTTTACTGCGGAAAACACTATCTGGTCCCCCATCGATGGACAGAATGAGACAGCATGTTTCGGCCCAAAAGCAACGATTGTGCAGTCTGACAGAGCAAACAGCGTGGTATGTTGCTTGTAATTCTGGCGGACTTTCTACTTTGACAGAGGCCAATGCATATTCGGCCCTGATTTCCTGGTGTACCGTAAAGTCCTTGACAACTCCGTAAAACTTCCGCTCGCACCTTCGAACAGGGATCACAAGGTCACCCGTATAGCTGAACTCACCCAGGAAGCAATTTTCCACGATCTTATGCCTCTGTAAGTTCGTCGTACGGAACTCGAGACCATATTCCTCTGGCATGAGGAAAAGGAGGTATCCGTACTCGCCAGGTACCAACTTAGGTAGGCCTTGGATAACTAAGTCATTCCATCCGCTTTGCTTTCTTTGCCGCAGAGACACGGATATGGTAACAATGAGCTTGTAGTGTTCTTGCTGGACATTTGAAGGATTCTTGACTATTAGAATACCACGGTTAATATCAAATACTGGTTCGCAGTGTACATCTGCGCGTGACTCGTCATCATGATTTTGCGGGGAGGTCTCCTTTTCATCCGCAGTCTTCCCATGAGAAGGTTGCGGTATGGTGAGCTTGGGAAGTAGCCGAGCCTTTGCGATCTCCTCTGGTTCAATTTCAGCTACCATAGGTACCTCTCCGGGGTCAGAATTGGATAGTGGCGATTCTTTCAAAGCTGGAATGGATGGTGTTGAGTCCGCATTTGACCATTTCCAGAAGGGGTCTTTGCGCACTTCGCCCGATACTTTTGTAGTATCTTCATTTGAAGGCTCAGGTAACGGTGTCATTTCATCAATCAATGAGAAACATGGATCAGCCTCACCAAAGACGGACCCCGCAACCTCTGGCTGTTCAGGATCATGAAATGGTTCTTTGCCTGTGTCTGAATGCGCTAGTGAAGACTCGAGAGTAGCACCAGCATCACTGGCTTCGAGCTTCATGCTACTTGCTATGTCCTTGACCTCAAAAGCACTATTAACACCCTTGGTTTGCGTACTGCCGGAAGATATTTTTTGTGTTATGTTGTCAGTCTGGGGTACGGACTCTCCGCTGAGGGGTTCATGCTGCTTTTCTCTGGGAAGCGGGGAGTTGGAGACCAAGTGTCCACTGTGGTTTGCCCAGCCCTCAGACACTCTCCTTTTGGGCTCAAATTTTGTAGAACTAATTCTGTCAATATGGTTTTGCTGCGCCGCTTTCCTACTTTGACCCTCTTCCGTATCCGAGCCCGGCTGAGATTCCGTCAGGCCTGCCGCTGCAGCACTTCTCTTTCCCAGACTATGCTGCTTGATAGCATCTATAAACCTAGTATATTCATCGCTATGATCGGACACAGATGATACTTGAGCCGAATGATGATCCAGCTGATCGAGCCCAGTATCGCAAATAGAGAAGTTTTCAACAGTTCCATCGACCGAGGATACCAAGTTTTGAGCCGAACTCTCGATATTTGCGGGCACATTTCCCCCAGAAGACTCTGAGCCAGATACCGGGGAACGTGCAGGGTAAGACTCTGTTGTAGTTGAAGAAAAGGCGAATAAAGGACTCTGAGGGGAGCTCGAGCTTGACCAAGTACCGTCACTATACTGGTCAGGCTGAAGCCGAACCAACTGTGTATTGACGATAGAAACCCCGGCAGATCGGATGTTCAAGATGGATAGCTGCGTGCTCGGAATACAATGGACCTAGTCCGAAGAAGGGAGAAATTCTCGATGAGCAGCGGACAGAGTACAGTAATGGGGATGTAGCAGCTCACCACCATAGAGATTCTGCAGTTGACGGGCTCGTCTAGGCTACCGCTCCAGGTACTTCGAATGTCCAAATTTGAAACCTCTGGAGAAGCCTGGAGCAGAGGTACTTGACGGCTTCCGTCTTTGTAGGAAGCCATGATTAGGACAGTGGTGGTTTGACGATGCGTTGGGGTAAGAATATCAGAGCAGACGCGGATGGACGACAACAGAGACAACACAGCTGCGTGTAGGCAAAATGATCGTAAGAGCAAAGTGGGGAGCAAGGCCTAAAGAGTGAATGCTAGCAACTGTGGAGTGAGAAGTGAAGGCGAGGCCGTCAACGAGGGGAAGAAGCCGGTTGACTCCCACCTCCAGTTGGGATTTTCCCCCAAAAAGGAAGGCAACATCCGGCCTAACCTCAGGCAGCCATCCTTAGTCCGCGTATATAGTTTCGGTGCTGGAAGGAACCTTGCAAACACCAGTTGACTTGCTTCGGGCTAGTTCAACTTAATAATAACGAGAAGTGGCAGCATAGCCATTAAGCTACCCATCTCATGTCAAATTCTGTTTCAAGTTAATATGTACAATGAAGTCAACCGTCCAGCCATCATCCGTCATCACTCGATCCAAAGCCGTAACCATAACATAATAACGGGGAATAGAAATAACAATCAAACACCTGTAGTATGGTTATCCCATTTTAAATCCCCGAGGCGCCATTTATCCCCAGAGCCCGATTCTTGTTCCCAGTAAAAGCAAAACACCCGTCCGACTGTCTATCCAAGGAGGTAAAAGCAAAGAGAGAGAGAAAGAACAACCAGAGCAAATTCGACCATCGATCAAGACCACAAGCAACCGAGCCACAGTGGCTGAGCACTCCGAAACCACTCATCGCGGGGTCCCATTCGCTGAAGCAGGATGCTCAAAAGACGCCTGGCCAGGAGTAGAACCGTACCTGTCCACTTCATTGGTAGAAATAGGTTGTGATGGAAGGATCGGTGTCGCCGCTTGGGAAGATTGATCAAAGTAGCCTCGTGCCGCTGCACCGTTGGTGCCTTGAGCAAAATTTCGATTCCGTTGTTGCAAAGGAGGAAGGATTGTGGACCCAGTCTGGTATTGCGAACGAGGGTAGCTTTGTGGCATCATTGCTCCCGTCGAGTCCGCTGTCTATCCAGAATAATATACGGTTCTTAGCTTCTCGACCTTAACGACGGGTGGTAGGCGGAGTCCATACAGGAGTACCAGGCGCGTTGACCATTCCTAAGGACTGCATCGTGGCCTGTTGGCTGGATCGACCGTGTGCCCCAGGGTCTTGCATCTGGGGTACCTGAGTGGAGGATGGAATCCCGTAAGACATCTGCTATATTGTTAGCATCCTGCTAGAAACATCCGGCCTCTGGAGACGGCGCTTCGTGGGAGCATTGCTGTCCTCCCAAGCCGGTCTTTGAAGTAATGAATCAGGCAGACGAACCGCATAATCTGGAACCGCCGTGTGTCCGGCAGGATAGCCTTGCATCATAGGAGTTGCGTAGCCCCCTGGCTGATTGTAGATCGCCGTTTGAGGGTACGTATCCATCTGACGCATCCGCCCATCTGCGTCATACATCCCTCGGGTCCCAAGGTCTATAGACGACATTCGCGGCCGCTTACTGGGGTGTGTCTGCTGTCCATAGTACCCATAGTCTCTACTCGTTGTCGGGTAAGCGCTGAACGCGTTGCTTGGCATCTGGATCGAAGAACGATCGGGCGAGCGCGGAATCGGCTGCGGATACTCCTCTGGCCGGGGTACAGGCCGTTTGCTGTCTCACTGGTCAATCATACAAAGCCACTTCTCGCAGGTTTCCCAGTCACTCGGCTACTTCACTCACATTAGTGTTCGTGGCTCCTTTCTAATTCTCAACTTAACACCTTGGTCCGCAAAAGATCTGGAGAGGAACGTCGACTCTGCCATGCCCGGAAAGCTCTTTGGCGGGTACACTGTACGGAGTCAGGAGCTGCGTTCTCAAAAGGAATTGACGAGGACGTAAACGAACCGGTAAATCTATCCGTGATGATGGACTTAAGATGGGTTACGACGTCCCTTTAAATCGCCGCAAAATCAGCATGCGCTTCTCACAAGTCTGTGGAGAGGCTCGCTGGGAGCCATTGCAGGGCCAAAAGAAACCTACTTTCGCATTTCGAAGAGAGTGAACTTGAGCCGGAAATCTCCTTCGATTTTTACTGACAAGTCCCCCCAAACGAAGAATCCCCCATCTGGGCCAGGTCCAGTCAGTAAGCCAAATCTAGACCTGTTTTGAAGCTCATTCGAAGACCAAACTTACCAGTATTGTCCACATCTTTCAACCTGTGGAGAGACGAAACCAGTGTGCCGGTCAGAGCAGTGGACGGGGCCACGGGAACTGGGTTGTCCTCTGACGCATCATACAGGCTGCAGCACATAAAATAATAAGGGCTTTGCAAGTAATGCCTATTGGTGTTTTGTCAGTGGGCCTGTTTCTCCAACGCAGCACCAATTTCAAGCGCGAACACCTACTGCGCGAGATAGGTCCCCTCCTCTCTGACTCGGATCTGCACAATCGGCGGCGGATCTACTGGCTTGCGTTCTGCAGCGCGAAAACGGGTCCCAAGTCAACCTCTGCTCGTCCGTAGGGGCGTTGCTTCTCAAGAAGAAAAACCGAAGAGACTAGCAAAGCCGGTGATTCCACATACCTTTCTCCTTCCCACCCGCCACGCGCGCCCTGTTGGGCTGCTGGCGAACGATCAGGTCAAAGTCGGAGCTGGTAATCATAGTCAGTTGGATGCCCTGGGTAGCTGAGTAAGAGTTGAAGTTATTTTAACAAGGTCCAGCAAACTGGGAGGACAAACCTCTGAGTATCGCGGGCAAGGGAAGCGTCCGGAAACGTCGACGCACTCATCAAGGCGAGCTCTCAAGGATCTGAACCTAAGCAAATACGGGAGCCAAAGGATCCAAGTCGGATATCCGCAAGGACAGACAGCTGCGAACCACGTCTGAACAACAGAAGGTGGCCAGGGGAAAAGTGAGATATGATGAAGAAACAAAGAATGAACCGATGGATTAACAGCAGGGAAGAAGAGTTCGGGTCTCTGGAACCTAGCAGCCAGCGACTTGTGGTTCGACGAAGCACTAGAAGAGAGAATGATACACGGTGGGGGTGAAAGAGGGGAGTTGGGGTTGGTTAAAGATGGGACACGACGGTATGATTGACTAGTTAGTCAGTCCGTAGCAGCTGGAGCTGGACCTTCGACCCAACTTCCGGAGTGGAGAATCCGTAGGAAAACACCGTCTGGGCTGCCACTTGCGTCGGGACGCTGGGAAGGATGGCCGAAATTGCAGTAGCACCGTCAAGTAGTTTTTGAGCTGCAATGAGGCGAATGCGGTACGAAAACGGCGCCGAGAAGGAAGAAAAAGATGGATGGTGTCGTCAGAATGCAAGCGGCAAGAGCCAGCCGAGCACGGTTCCAGACAAACCTTAACCAGCCAATTCGACCCAAGTGGATTGCTAACTAAGTTGCTTTGCTTCCTTTTCCACCTCTTCTCACTTGTGACTGGGCTGCTTTCTTTTGGCTCTTATAGGGGAGTAAAGCTGCTTGGGTTTTGCGGCTGCTGCTGCTGCTGTTGCTGTTGTTGCTGCGGCTCTGATTCGAAAATAATGTAGTAGAAGCGTGTTCGTCACTTTTCTTTATTTTCCTCTTGTTAATTTTCTTTCTTTTTTTTTCCTTTTTTCTTTTTCTTTTTTTCTTTCTCCAATTAAACTCTTTTGGTTTTCTCTTTTTTCGCTTCCTTTTTTTTTTCTCCCCTCTCTTTATGTGTCAGTCTTGTTTTTTTTCTCTTGTTTTTGCGTGTTATTCAAAGACTTCCTTTCCCTTTAAAGAAAAAAAAAATTTTTTTTCCCTTCACCCTTTGGTTCTTTCGAAGTCTTCTCAGTAATATTTTTTTTCAACACCCTTGGAGGGATTTTCTTCACGTGAGGATGAAACGTCGTGGGTGCCTGGCCAATCTTTCCTTTGGCACCTTCACCTGAAGAAAATTCCGGGAATCCAAATGGTGCTCTGCTGCGACCGTGGTGTTTGGGTCAGTCAAATGGACGCCCGGGTCTAGACGTCACAGATCGCGCGGCCGAGTAAAGAGAGAAAAAAAAATAATAATTGAGGGAAATCACAGACCAGCTCAAGCGGAAAACAAAATAATTTTCGCGCCCCTCCTTCAAAACAAAATTTGCCCAAAAGTCAAATGAATAATAATAGTAGCAGCAGCAGCAATAGTAGTTTGAAGCGAGCGAGCACTAGGTGTGGCGGGATTGAACACCGCCCAGCGATCAGACGGTAGCTGAACGATGGGTCAACAAAGTCGCCTCTGACAGGTCTCTGACGCACAAAAATCCACGAAAAGAAATGCGTGGTGCCCGTGGTGTGTCAAAATTAGGAAGTCTAGGGTAAAAATTTACTGGTAATCAAGAGGACAGCCAGCTGAAGGGTGAACCAGACAAATGGCCTAGTGGAGCTGTACCGGAAATCGCAGAGCAACGCCGGCCACTGTTCGGCCGTCGAATGGTATCGTTCCCAGTCAGGTCAACCACGGTTGGGCATGCGGGCTAGGGTGTTGTATCAGCCTTGACGATCCGACAGGAACCGCAGCGACATGGAGATGATGCGCACATTGGCAAGTCCCGAGGAAAAAAGCGAGGGAGGGGAAATGACAAAAAGTCGCATCCAAACTGCGGCCACCTGCGCAAGACTGAAAGTCTACTTCCCTCCTTCTAGGCTGGATCGTCTGAGAACTGACAACAGACCACTGGTTCGAGTTAGGCACGAAATCCACCGCGTTTGCGGCAAGCCACTATCCCCTTCCCCGAGCAATTCCCCAACCCACACGCGCAACGGCGTGGTCTCGTGCGCGTGGAGATGGAGCCGGCTATGCAAGTGATCAGACCCGTATCTAGGCGCCACACAGGGTCTCCAGGTCTTGATTTGACGCCCGTGAAGTTGTTTGATGCTGGTCGGTGCGCGCGTCTAAAATCTCCAGTCGGACTCGTACTAGATCGTCGTTCCTCCAGCACTGTACTGAGAAGAAGCCAGTTATCTCTGCGCTGGTTTAGGGAGAGCGACGCTCATCCGTAGATAGGCCCTTTAGTCCGTCGCCCTTTTTCAGTTGTTGGCTCCTACTTATCCGCCTATCAAAGTTTCTCTGCGTTTCGGCCGAGGAGTCAGCATCATAAGCAGCAACATCATCCCTCTTCATCACCTCACTCCCCTTCACACCACCGCTACCATGATCAATAACGACACAGCATCACAAGGACACGACGAACCATTGACTGACCTCTTATGTCATCCACTGGGAACCGTGTTTCTAGACAAAGGGAAGATCCAAGGTCGAGAAGACGGCAGGAGGGGTTCAGGGCCCCAAGGCCCACTCAATAATCCTTTGAGCCCTTTGTTAGACTTGAGCTGATCCGTCAATCAAAATTAACTTTGTTCAAGCAATTCGACACTTGAGGCTTTTGGACGCTGCCTACCTATTCTGTACCCGCTCTTTAGTCGCGTGGTCTTGCTTGGGTTTGTTCGGGGAGGGCGCACTGGTTTGTCTATTGATCCCCAAAGATGTTGGAGAGAGGAGGTTTGGAGGAAGAGAGTTTGGGCGGTAGTTTCAAGGCGATGCGGTTTGGCCAAGAAGACCGGCAATGAAGTGTTGCTGCTTTTGCTGCTGCTGCCAACCCCGGTCTGTGTCACGAGGGCCCATCCCCTGTCTGTTCGTCTTCCCCTCGACAGCAAAGGCTGCAGCCAATTCCAAAATTCCAAATCCCTTTGCTCGGGGATTTATTCTCTTCGACCTTCGGCTGTCTCACTCTGTACTGACTTTTGTACGACAGCGGGATTGACCACCCCTTATCTTGATATCTCTCACCCCGCGATGTTCACAAGATGGGAATTCCCTCAGCGACGACGCTCCAAGTGAAAGGAAGCCTGACGATCGTGGACCACCACCACTCTGGCCGGAACACGAGAAGAAAAAGAAATGAAAAGAATATGAAAGAGAGGAACAGATAAAATAAATATGAAATCGTTCACAATGAGAATAGTCAACCAGAGGTGGGAGTGGGCCTCTTTTCAACGTGCAGGCGTGGGGAAACAGGTCGGGCTTGAAAGTCAACCTTTCTTAGCTTCTGCTGCTGCTGCATTCCTGGGACCTAGCCCGAGAGATGCATCACATTGCCTGGAATTTGACACGCAGGTCGCAGAGCTTGCGTCCCGCTCATACATTCATACTGTTGCGCTGCTGGAAGGTTGATTCGATCTCGGGGAACGGGGCGCTCACCCCTCAGCAGAGCCGGGCCGCCAGAGATCGGATCGCTGGGCTGATGCGGCGTTGAGAAAGTAAGCATGCATGAGTCGTTTCTGAAAAAGAGGGATCGTCGAGAGCAATTCTTCCCTCTCACTTGCCTAAGCGAGATTCAGCAATGAAGAGCTAACCTTACTTAAATAGTGTTGACCATCTGGTTGGACTACGCAGCTTCTCCATGCATAATCTGAGGGTCCCTGGTTCACGCTGTGTAAAAGCGCGGCTGAGAATTACGCTTCCTTGTTTCCTCCGTACAGCGCCTTTTCCCCCTTGGATTTCCCATCTGATTTTTGGCCCTTTTTCCCTCGACCTTTCATTTATTTTTTCCTCTTGTACCCTTTCTATTTTCGGGAGGTTCCTGGGGAAACCTTTCACCCTTCCCCTCAGATGCGTTGCATTGCGTACGGATCCTGGATCTTATTAGGTGGTAGTGGCAGCTGCATCTAGCCGCATCAACTGCGAAGCTACTGGTTCCAGGAGCCCGCAATCGCGATTCTCGCCATTTGCCAAGTGTCAAGCATAACTGGATGATCAACTTCGGCTGAGATACTGTATTTCTTCGTTCAGCGCAGCGACGGGTTCAACTATCATCCCTAAGAGGTTGGCATTACCTCAGACAGAAGTCCGAGGTTCATCAAGAAAATTATCACGTAGGAAGGATCAGCAAAAAGCATGCGTCCGATGATTGGCAATCCCTATGCAAGGGTGGCATAGACCAATGCCTGAGTTTGTAAGGATATGGATGGGCAGAGGTCCAGGATAGCGGAGCTTTGGACATGGTACCTGCAAGTCAGGAACGAAACCCATCCCCGACGGGGAAAAAAGAAACCAGTGGAGAAAGAAAGGTTGATAGGAATTTCTGACGATTAATGCGGTTTATTTTGTCCGCCGCACGACTCAATGAAGCCATCCGATTGACGACGGAGGTAAGCAGGGATGAGAGGGAAAAGAAGAGAGGAGGGAGAAAAGGGAAAAAAAGAAAAAGAAAAGAAAAAAAACCAAGTACGGAGTATAATGGGGCAGCAAAATGGGGAGTAAAACCAAGGAAGACCTGCTCTAGTCCATTCATCACTTGTGGATGGGTACGGAGCACACACTTACACTCACACAAACACACGCTGGGACTGATCGACACCATAGACAGAGAGACCTGTCAGCAAGTCTTCGGATGCGATGCTACCATGGCGCCCTTTAGCCAAGAAAAATTCCTACACCACAAGTGTACCGATAATGCCACGTTTTGATGGCAGAATGTACGAGGTTACCGAGTCATGACAACGAAACAATGAAGCTTTGGGATGGACATTATCGTTGATTGATGGACGCTGAATGGGCGAATAGCCACAGACGCACACCCACACACACACACACAGATACACACACACACCGAGAACAGGCAGTGGAAAGCCCACTGTGGATTCTTAGTTTGAAGGAATATTTTCCCTACCGCCATGACCCTATCAGGGAGGTGAAAATTACCACAGAAAGACAGCAGCGAAAGGAATTCAGGAGAGGGGAAAGAAAAAATTACTGATAAAATCAGGGTGGGTAAAGAAACGCAAATGACTTAGAAAAGAGAGTTAAGGTAAGAAAGAAAGAAAAAAAAAAAAAAAAAAAAAAAAAAAAAAAAAAAAAAAAA